AAAAAACGCTAGTTACGTACGACATTTTGATTTCGAGTGGTGCATCTTCATTTGGGTAAGCATTTTTTCTGGTCATGGCGTCCAATCTTTTAATGGCATTCATCTTTCATTTAATAGCATTGAAGCTGTATAATACTACGGGTAGAGCTAAGGTGTTGATAGCCTTCATTTTATTGGCCCCATTAAGTTTGCTTTCTGGTATCAGACGCCTTCTTCTATAATATTCTTTTCGGATCTGTTTCTTCATAATTAAATGTTGTATTCCGTCTCCTTCATTAATTCATAAGTATTTCAATGTACCATTTTGGTCTAGTTCCATAATTTCGTTGTTGATATCAAATTCTGTAATCTGTAATTTTCGTTAGTTTACCACCTTTGAAGGCGGCTTCATTCTTCCACTTATATCGAATGTTTTTTGTAATCTTTGTTTCTCTCTCATATTCATTATCTTGCTTGTGTACATCAGGGAGATTCTTACAACTGGTTTCTATTTGTTCATCTGCATGTGTCTTCTCCGGATTGTTGGCATTTAGCCACTAGATGTTAACGTTTAATCTATTTTTGATGTTTTCTTGGATGCTTCCTAATTCTATGTCAGGTATTCGTTTTTTTTTGATGATGTCACGCCTGACATTGGCTAGTTTGTTGGCATCGAAGTTTGTTTAAAGGATGTTTTATTTTCTCGCGAGATATTATAGGCGGCTTTAGTCGTTGTCGCATTTATCGTAGCCGTGTAAAATGCTATCATTACTTCAACATACTCTTCGCTAGACGATTTATTTATTGTTCTTTTTTGTGGGATGTTCTTTTAATGAATATAGAGGGCTGCTGTGATGATTTTCCTCTGCATAAGTTTCCTTTAGTCCTCGTTGGGTAGTGTTTATTCCAGTTGCAGATTTTTCTATGTCTGTTTCGTTCCTCACTGGGGATCGCTGTCCTTGTTGACCCGCGTGAGGACCGATGCGATTTAGCAATATTTTTTGTTGTGTCAGAATTATAGTTACTTCGTATTTACCCATACATAGGAGCTGATTTGTGGGCCCCAGAGCATATCCATTCCATAGTGAGCCATCTTCTTCAGGAAGCTCGGCTTCCTCCGGCAATTTTTTTTTTACTATTGCTATTATGAAGAACAACGATATTATTATTATTATTATTATAATAATATTTTGATTTTTGCTATGGTCACACTCGTCTGAGAGAAGACTTAAAGCAGGACCTGGTGTGTTCTTATGGCTACATTTCATGATTTATTTTTCTAACTCCCATAACATCACCAGCGTTGCAAGGACAAACTTATTAGTGTGTGGCCTGCACTTAATTTTTCAAATTGTTTGCTTGCTATATTACAGTCCGCTGGGCAAGACATATTAATTAGTAGACAAGTTTTTTATTTTTTTATTTTAGGTTTTTGACAATTATGTCCGGCCTGTTTACTTCAATCTTCCTGTCTATAAAGATGTTGTAATCTCATAGAATTGCGATGTCTCCTATTTCTGTAACCGGTGCTGGGTGATGTTCATACCAGTGCGTATTAACATCTTTTTCCAAAGAGTTTGCACATTGTCCATTGTAAATGCTGCCTCACTCGATAGTGCCGATTTTTATATTCATTTGGCGTAAGCACAGAATATCCTAAGATTTCTCGTAAAAAGACTCTGGTCTTATCAACATCGGCTTTATTAGGCTCGTTCTGGATATTGGACAAGCAAAGGTTTGTCTTGCTAGCGTTATTTCATCTGATCAAGAGCTTTATCCTTGGCTTGCTTTTGCATAATGTTTGCTACAACAATGGGTTCTTGTGTTCTTCTTTGGTTTTCTACAGAATCTACTAAATGTAAATCTCGTTTGTAATTAAAACCTTCTTTCATGATTGGACTTTTTTTCTTTCTCTTTTCGCGTTGTTTGGCTAATCGTATCGTCCTGTCCTTTGTCATTTCCATGTCTGTTAGTAAGCCAATAGTTGTCTAGTATGAAAATTCTAGCTGAATAAGACATCTTCCACCTTTACGGGGTATATATAGATGGTGTACATCAGCATTTAGATGATGCATATTATACTTAGAAAGAAGCTTTCTTGCGTAAAAAATCCATTCGTCTGATACCATTTAGAGTCCAGTTAAAGATATTGAAACTATATTGAAGCACCGGGATGACAAAGCTATTAATGGCAATTAATTCTGTTCTCGGAATCTAATTCGATTCTTAATATCAGTCGAACCATTCTATCGTATTCTTTTCGCCCTATTGCTTCCATTTTTTGGGATGAATTCCTTCATTCTCATTAATAAAAAATATTTAAATATAACTTGAGGAACACATTTCAACATTCTGTTCAAATCTTGATTAACCTTGTCAAACACTGTTTTTTTTCTTTATCTTTTGTTAAATGGCGCTCTCCTCTTAAATGTTGAAAATATTGGAACAGTTGCGTCAATCCATTTGTTTATTATTACCATTATTGTTATTATTATTACCATTATTGTTATTATTATTGCTATTACTATTATTGTTACCAATATTATGATTATTATTATTACTATTATTGTTACTATTTTTGTTATTATTCTTACTATTATTGCTACTATTATTCTTAATATTATTGCTATTACTATTATTGTTACCATTACAGTTATTATTATTAGTATTAATATTTCTATTATTCTTAATATTATTATTAACATTACTATTATTGTTATCATTACAGTTATTATTCTTACTATTATTGTTACTATTATAGCTATGATTATTACTATACTATACCTATTATTGGTACTATTAATAATATTATTACTATTAGTATTATTGCTAATATTATCGTTATTATTATTACTATTACTATTATAGTTACTATTTTATTATTATTACTGCTATTACTGTTACTTTTGTAGTCGTAGTAGAAGTAAATTTCCCGGCTTGCTTTTATATTTCCCTTAATAATTTTACAGAAACTTCACATTCTATTTTAGGTCGTCGCCGTCATCGCCGACGTCGTCGTCGTCGTCGTCGCCGTCGTCGTCTCCACGCTATACAACGGCTGTCTTTGAGCTTCTAGCATTTCTGTCTCGCTTCTTCAGTCAATTATCGATTCATCGTTTGATTCGATTTTTTTTTCACAATCATCATTCAAACAAAATGTCTTCATTATCCCCGTTCTAGCAACTAGACTGTATTTCCAGGAATTGAAATTAAATGCTTCAAGATATCAATTCAATTTTTAATCGATATTAAATTTAATTGTAATTGCCCTTACAGCACTACAACGAATTACGCAGATTAAAATTTTTGTTAGCAAATTTATTAACAACTTTAAAATATTAGCAATTAACTTTAAATATCAATCACGCTTTAATTTAGAATTTTCTATTCGAAATAATATTTACATTTTTATTATGGGTGTGCAGGTGGTGTATATTAAATCAGCGAGTTGAGATCGAATTCTAGTCGAGTTTGTTATATCTACTTTCGTGCAAATAGGTTTGTGAAATGCTTGGATCCCTCTTCCAGCTTGGTCTAGCAGACGGAAGAAATAATAAGACGGTTCTACTTAAGAGATCTTAGAATGTGTAGCGCCCAGTTCCTGCTGGGAGGCGAAAAATACATGGACGCCATTTCCAAAGGCCTCCGATGCTCTTTTTCTGTATAATATGCAATTCGCAAAGCCTGTAAAATCTAATGAAGGCAATTAGAATAATCCATATAAAATAATAATCCCAACAACTCTGAGAAAATTAGGCAGATAATTCTACCTAATAGATTTAAAAAATAATATCACCGAAACAAAACCCTGGCCACAATTTCAACTTAATACATAACAGCGTGAAGGGAAATAAAAGGTTTATTGCAGAAGATGTATTGAGAGTGCGCTGAGCTCATAATTACCTGACATAATATTACCAATCATTGCATAGAACGATGGAACCAGGATCTGGTTAGAGGAGGGGCGAATTTCAAGTCAAGCAGGGATGGGCAAATTTAATATGAAAAAAAAAATGATCTTGCATTTTGTCCGAAAGACATTAACAGCTTTAGAACAAAAATCTGTAGCGGGACGCTACAAAAAAAAAGGCAAGGTCACAAGAAATAAATGACTAACCAAGAATGAAAAGGGCAAGGTCATGAGAAATAGATGGGCAACGCATGATGAAAAGGGCAAGGTCACAAGAAATATTTAGGCAATCCATGATGAAAAAGGTAAGGTCACAAGTAATAGACAGACAACAGATGGCGAAAAGGGCAAGGTCACGCTAAATAGATCGGCAACACATGACAAAAAGGTCAAGATCACAAGAAATAGATAGGCAACCCATGATGAAAAGGGTAAGGTCACGAGAAATAGATAGGCAACCCATGATGAAAAGGGTAAGGTCACGAGAAATAGATAGGCAACCCATGATGAAAAGGGTAAGGTCACGAGAAATAGATAGGCAACCCATGATGAAAAGGGTAAGGTCACGAGAAATGAATAGGCAACCCATGATGAAAAAGGGTAAGGTCACGAGAAATAAGGCAACCCATGATGAAAAAGGTCACGAGAAATAGATAGGCAACCCATGATGAAAAGGGTAAGGTCACGAGAAATAGATAGGCAAATGAAAATAAGTCACGAGAAATAGATAGGCAACCCCATGATGAAAAGGGTAAGTTCACGAGAAATATGCAACCCATGATGAAAAGGTTAAGGTCACGAGAAATAGATAGGCGAAAAAGGGTAAGGTCACGAGAAATAGATAGGCAACACATGATGAAAAGGGTAAAGGTCACGAGAAATAGATAGGCAACCCATGATGAAAAGGGTAAGGTCACGAGAAATAGATAGGCAACCCATGATGAAAAAGGTCACGAGAAATAGATAGGCAATACATGATGAAAAGATAAGGTCACGAGAAATAGATAGGCAACACATGATGAAAAGTCACGAGAAATAGATAGGCAACCCATGATGAAAAGGGTAAGGTCACGAGAAATAGATAGGCAAACCCATGATGAAAAGGGTAAGGTCACGAGAAATAGATAGGCAAACCCATGATGAAAAGGGTAAGGTCAGATAGGCAACCGATGATGAAAATAAGGTCACGAGAAATAGATAGGCAACACATGATGAAAAGGGTAAGGTCACGAGAAATAGATAGGCAACCCATGATGAAAAGGATAAGGTCACGAGAAATAGATAGCAACCCAGATGAAAAGGATGGTAAGGTCACGAGAAATAGAATGGGCAACCCATGATGAAAAGGGTAAGGATGGGCAACCCACGATGAAAAAATAGAAATAGATAGGCAACCCATGATGAAAAAGGATAAGGTTACGAGAAATAGATAGGCAACCCATGATGAAAAGGTTAAGGTCACGAGAAATAGATAGGCAAAACATGATGAAAAGGGTAAGCTCACGAGAAATAGATAGGCAACCCAATGATGAAAGGGTAAGGTCACGAGAAATAGATAGGCAACCCATGATGAAAAGGATAATACGAGAAATAGATAGGCAACCCATGATGAAAAGGGTAAGGAAGAAAAGATAGGCAACACATGATGAAAAGGGTAAGGTCACGAGAAATAGATAGGCAACCCATGATGAAAAGGGTAAGGTCACAAGAAATAGATAGGCAACCCATGATGAAAAGGGTAAGGTCACGAGAAATAGATAGGCAACCCATGATGAAAAGGGTAAGGTCACGAGAAATAGATAGGCAATACATGATGAAAAGAGTAAGGTCACGAGAAATAGATAGGCAACCCATGATGAAAAGGATAAGGTTAGCGAGAAATAGATAGGCAACCCATGATGAAAAGGGTAAGGTCACAGAAATAGATAGGCAACACATGATGAAAAGGGTAAGGTCACGAGAAATAGATGGGCAACCCATCAAAGAAATAGATACGAGGGTAAGCTCACGAGAAATAGATAGGCAACCCATGATGAAAAGGGTAATGAGAAATAGATAGGCAACCCATGATGAAAAGGATAAGGTTACGAGAAATAGATAGGCAAACCCATGATGAAAAGGGTAAGGTCACAAGAAATGAATGGGCAACCCATGATGAAAAGGGTAAGGTCACGAGAAATAGATAGGCAACCCATGATGAAAAGGGTAAAACAAGAAATAGATAGGCAACCCATGATGAAAAGGGTAAGGTCACGAGAAATAGATAGGCAACACATGATGAAAAGGGTAAGGTCACGAGAAATAGATAGGCAACCCATGATGAAAAGGATAAGGTTACGAGAAATAGATAGGCAACCCATGATGAAAAGGGTAAGGTCACAAGAAATAGATAGGCAACACATGATGAAAAGGGTAAGGTCACGAGAAATAGATAGGCAACCCATGATGAAAAGGGTAAGCTCACGAGAAATAGATAGGCAACACATGATGAAAAGGGTAAGCTCACGAGAAATAGATAGGCAACCCATGATGAAAAGGATAAGGTTACGAGAAATAGATAGGCAACCCATGATGAAAAAGGGTAAGGTCACAAGAAATAGATAGGCAACACATGATGAAAAGGGTAAGCTCACGAGAAATAGATAGGCAACCCATGATGAAAAGGGTAAGGTCACAAGAAATAGATAGGCAACCCAGGTCACGAGAGAAATAGATAGGGCAACCCATGATGAAAAGGGTAAGGTCACGAGAAATAGATAGGCAATACATGATGAAAGAGTAAAAGGTCACGAGAAATAGATAGGCAACCCATGATGAAAATAAATAGAATAGCTGAACCCTACGATAAATCATACAGTTTTAGTCTTTTATTCACACCGGAATACGCCAACCTAAAACAAACAAACACACACACACACACACACACACACACACACACACACACACACACACACACACATATATATATATGTATATATATATTCAGCTGTCTGGATATTATTTGGTAACCCTGAGTTTCACGCTTTTGCGATCATCAGACAAACAGATATTGAGTACTTTCCACTAAGTACCGCGCATATATATATATATATATATATATATATATATATATATATATATATATATATATATATATATACGGCATCCGTCCATCTCGAGACGGTGCACTACGAGCCTGGACGGGATATATGGAGAACTAGGGCTGCCCAGAAATCTAGTTCCCCCTCTCGGCCTCGCTAGCTGAGTCCGAAGGAGAGGATAAACCAATACAGTTTGGTACCAGCGCGGCTTCAGGAGTTGCTGGAAGGTAGCACAAAGTGCCGTCCATCCGCCTTAAGGGCTCCACTCCGGGTTTGAATTCAGAGTTGTCCTTCTCCTAGACCAGTTGCCATCCAAGGCTATAGAACCCGGTCTGTCCTGCTATTTACCCATACCTGGAGGGAGAAGAACAGGATTCACTCCTTTCCCAAGGGTATTAGCACGTAAGTGAATGTGATCGATTCGACTGGAATTCGAACTCGGCTCTCCGATTCGTCAATATATATATAAGAAAATGGAAAGTGTTTTCGTCTGAGGCGTTTCATCCTTTAGGACTTCATCAGCCTAAATTGTGTTATGTTGGGGCAACTACATATGTGCATGAAGGAGGGGTGTGAAAAATTTCGAATATTTTTATATTTGAATTTTATTTTTTTATTGTATATAATCTAACCCATTTTATTTGGATTTTTTTCTCCATTAATTTTGTTATTAGATACCCCAAACTGTGATAGTAGAAGGTCTGCCAGGAATGGTGACATTTTGAAAGAGCCCGGTGCAAGTTTTCCGACCAAGCCACTCTGTCCAAAATTTGTACCTACTATATGTAAAACAATAAAAGATTTTATCAATACAAAACAAAACAATAAGCTTGAAGGAGGAATTTACTGGATCGCGTGTAATAATTGTCATAAAAAATACATAGGAGAAACCTCAAGAAATCTTAATAAAAAATTATATGAACACATAACTTACATTTTACAAAATAATACATCAAATGCATTAGTTTCTCACCGTAACGGGGCTGACCACAATTTTTACATAAAAAATGCTATGCTGATAAAAAGAGAAAACTATTCACTAAGACGAAAATGTTTATAGAGTGCCTTAATCGTAAGGTCATCCACAGTAAAATAGCGCCGTAACCCTTAAAACGTTTCACAATTCCTGGCAGATCTTCTATTATCACAGTGTGGCGGGGATATCTAATAACAAAGGTGATAATAACAATCAAACAAAACGAAAACGAATCTAAATAAAATCGGCTAGATTATATATAAAAAAAATAAATTTAAAATAAAAATTTCCAGCACCCCACATTCGTGCGCATGCGTAGTCGCACCAACATAACAAATTTAGTCCGATGAAGTCCTAAAGGCCGAAACGCGTCACACGAAAACTTTTTTCCATTTTCTCCTACATTTTTCCCCACTTTTATTCTTGATATATACAAATTTATATGTCTTTATGTCATATATAAGAAATTTAAAAAAAAAAAAGTAACATGCGTTTCTTGAGATTGAGTTATATCACGTAGCAAGCTCCATAGATTGTTTTTCAGATTTAGCCTTAAGATTATTTATAGGCTTTCTTAACCCTAAACACTTAGCATCAATTAAAGTTACACCACTACTAACCATGGGTATATCATACCCGATTTAGAAAATATCAAAAAAATATTGAATATAAATCTTTATTTGAAATATTTTACATGCAGGCACTGCAATCTTTTGTGATACAGCGAAAACAGGCTTGTATGTGGATCACTATTCCTCTCGTTAGCCGATTGACCGCCATACAGAAATGTTAATTTGAAAAGAAAACAGTGGCAGCTTCTGCTATTAATGCATCACTCTTCACATATGAATTGAGTCTCTTGGCTTCTGGCGTTTATATACATCACGTATATAATATGGTAAAATTTGCCCTTTCTATGCTGTGCGCCGATAGCTTAGGGGTAGAATCTCTGACTGATGACAAATCGGTCGTGTTTCGATCCCGGCTTGAAGCAATCTGATATCTAGCCACACTGATGAGTTGTGATATAGCGTGACAGGCTTGTATGTAGATGACTATATATATATATATATATATATACAAATGGTTAGAATAAAAAATTTACATACACGCACAAATACTTGTACGTATGTAAGTATTTTTATTCCTAAGGTGTTACAAAAAAGCGCACAAAGTTATGAAACACACACACACACACACACACACACATATATATATATATATATATTAGTGAATATCCATAATATCCAACGTCGGTAATACTACTCGGAGTTTCATAAAGTTTATGCAATCTTCAGGGGTGAAACGGCATTGGATATTATGTATATACACTAATATTTTGGTCATTTAAAAGAAATTAATAAAACATCTACCATAAAATGGAAAATGTTACAAAAAAAAAAAAAAACAAGAATCTGTAAATCCTTAAATGACCCATGTTACCTGTGTTTACATGAAGTCTGCGTAGTATAAATTTTCCTAAAATAAAGTTCTCCGATATAAAAGAAATGAATTACCCGTAATTTGTAGGGATTGTATAATGTTTACTTTAAAATATAGTTAAAAGAATTTTTCAAAAAAATTTACGCGTTAATTACATATCCATTATTTTACTAATTTATAATGATTAACATATTTTTTGATTTATTCAACTTTAATAATTCTTTGACGCATTGCCCATTCACTACAAAAAGTATCACATTTGAGGTTCCATATATATATATATATATAAAAAAAAATTTAATTATACTAGCGACCCCTTTTTTGAAGTATAAAACAATTTTTGAAATTTCTTATTAACATAACTACGTCTACTTTATTTTATTTAAACTTTGTTTGCAACTGTTTCTCTGCTGTGGGACGGGACTAAAGTGTCTGGACATGATTTAATAACCCACCCATCTACACCCTCTGACCTTATTTTATATTTTCACTTTTAGTTTAAATTGGTTAATACTGATATGCCCACGAATATATATATTTTTTTAAATTTTGAAACTAGGGCTTCCCCACTCCTTTTTAACTTTCAAATAAGGTAATGGTTTGTTATCTAGTTTTCGAAATAAATCATTTTCATCATAAGTTATTCTAGAGGAAGGAACATTATAGTTCCGAAACCTGAAAGATTTTGTGTAGCGATGTAAAATATTCTAATAAAAAAAAAATATTAATATATATATATATATATATATATGGGGTGAGGTGGGGAGAGAGAGAGAGAGAGAGAGAGAGAGAGAGAGAGAGAGAGAGAGAGGTGCAGGTTCATATCCTGCCGGGGTGAGGGAATTCATGAGGGTAGGTTAAAATAAATAGATATACTGTTTAAAAAATAAATGGACCATCTATACGAGTGCTCACTAAAAATTACCGTTTATAGTGATAAACACACACACGCACACATACGCGTACATACACAAACACACACCCATATGTATGTGTGAGCGAGTGTGTATGTGTTTGTGTTTGTGTATGTGCATGTGTGTGTATGAGCGTGGAAAGTAATGGAAAACGTTGCCAATATGATTATATATATCTGTATAATTACAGTGAAATATACATAAGCCATATGTACACACACACGCATACACGCCTAGGCGCGCGCGCGCACCCACACACACACACACACGCACACACACACGCACATATATATATATATATATATATATATGTATGTATGTATGCATATATGGGTATTGTATGATAAAGCAATGTTGCCTTTCTGAAATACGCAGAGTCTCGTCAGGTTTTCATAGAGATTAAATTATGTCACGCATTTACAAGAATCCACAGAAGTGTAATATGTTATTATCGCGGAATGATTTCTGAGATTTGTAAAGCGAGCAGAACATCGTCCATATTCTCAGTTGCGAATTACCTTTTCTAGTTCTATTTTATCATATTTTCTTCTTATAACAATAAGTCAGTTACGAATATGAAAGGCTTCCCTCTTCATAGTTTGTTACTATTTTCTTTTT